ATGTCTCAAGACTCGAATAAGACTTAAACAAGTGACCGACAAAGTCCTCAAATAAACTAACTTCTTGACCGACTGGCAACCCGAACAGTCTACTTGAACAACAAAGAATGCTAAGCCCAATAGCAATGCAATATGCGACTGCGACACAGAATCAGGAACTGGGAGATAATATAACGACACTAAGTAGGGACCATCAGCAGATCCTCCACAAAAGTTACAAAACTCCCATACTACTGAATCTAAGTTCAGCATAGGAAAAACCCGACTGTGACAATACACAGAAACCAGTACAAAATTAGGTCAGAAGCTATAGCTAAGGACCTGAGATGTTCAGAGTGTCTAAGCGACACACAACCTCAGTACAATGTCGAAAATCACTAAGTCTATACAATGTGCTGTGAACAGAGTTCTACAGAACTAACAAGAATAATGAGACAGACAATCTGTCCAACCATCAAGCGAGTCTAGAGCAGACTGAATACTTCATGAGAGGTGAGGACACCCCCCCCTCGATCACGTGATAGCCCCGTGGACAGCACAGCTCAGAAGCCGGCAGTATAACGAGCGACAAGCGATAATTACAGTAGTTTGACAATCAAGACTTGAACTGAGCACATATTATGTACATCCTAACAACATAAGCTACGTCAAATAACAATATAAGGCAATACATTTGCGATTTAGCTATTATCGCAAATATAAGCAATATAAAATTAAATAAAAAGGTAATATACATTATATATACATAATCATTGTAACCCATTCAGGGGTTGCAACAAGCACATTATTAACCCGAACACGGAAATGCCTGTCAGTTAAAAAGTTCTCAAGGAAGGATGGTAGATTGCCTTGAAGGCCTAAGGAGTGGGCTTGGGCTTAAATATTATACCTCCAAGTTGTGTCATATGCCTTCTCAAGGTCAAAAAATATGGCAATAACTGAGTGGTTATTCGCAAAGGCATTACGAACATACGTATCCAAGCGTAGTAAGGGGTCTATGGAAGAACGTCCCTTACGAAAGCCATATTGACGAGTGGAGAGACTGTTGTGTGTCTCTAAATACCACACTAAACGTCTATTTACTAGGCATTCCATCACTTTGCAAACTGTACTGGTAAGAGCAATGGGACGATAGTGGGAGATTTCATGTCCCGTAGTGCCTGGTTTGCCAAAAGGGAGAACAATGGCGGATTTCCACAGCTGTGGAAGAACTCCTTGTGACCAAATAAGATTGTAAAGGCGTAATAGGACTGCAAGGGCTGACTGATGTAAATGTTGTAGCATACGAATATGAATGTCATCGGGCCCAGCTGCCAATGATCGGCAAGCTGAGAGTGTTGCCTCCAGTTCTTGAAGTGTAAAAGGCACATTATACTGTTCTTCTCTGAGAGAAGAAAAGGGCCCAAGGGTGCTACTCTCTGGCAGACTTTGAGAAAAGAAATGGGGGCATAGATGGAGTCCCTGAAAAATACGGACCGGGTGATTGCAATTTCATTGGCAACATCTAGTGGGTTTGCTATATCAACACCGGCAACCGCAGAACAGGACCCGGGTCAGGAGAATATTTCCCACTCAGTTTTCGTACTTTTTTCCAGATGCACTATAGAGGAAGCAGAGGTGATGGTGGGGACTAATCTCGCCAGCAAGTGCGTTTAGCGTCACGGATGACACAGCGAGTGATTGCACGCTTCTGCTTAAAATCAAGAAGTCTCTCTGGGGTTCTATTGTACCAGTACCTGCCCCATGCAGAGTGTTTCAAACGTACTGCACGAGCACAAGCAGGAGACCACCAAGGCATGCATTTCTGAGAATGCCTGCCCGAAGTTTGGGGTATAGAATGAGAAGCTGCAGTTAAAACGGAGGACGAGAAGAGGTGTAAAAGCTCATCGATGGAGGACGAAGAAGGAACCTCTCTAAAAACAGTTAGGTGTGAGTAAAGGTTCCAATTTGCCTGATGCGAAGAGGTGGTGAATATGAAGGGGAAGTAAGAATGATTGGGAAATGATCGCTGTCATGTAAGTGCGGGAGAACAGACCAAGTGAAGTCTAATGCGGCGGAGGAAGAGCAGACTGAGAGATCGATGCAAGAGAGAGTGTGAGTCCGAGGATCAAAATGGGTGTGAGTACCTGTATTTAAAACATGGAGGGGGTGGGTGGCAAGAAAAGCCTCTAACTGAATGCCACGGGAATCACAGTGAGACCCCCCCAGAGGAAATGGTGGGCATTAAAATCACTAAGTAACAGAATCAGTGGCGGTAATGACGAAACAAGAAAGGCAATATCCGGAATAGATAATGCCCGTATCCACTTGCATAGGTGGTATACGCTCTGTTCTTTATATCTCTCTCCTTCTCGGGCATTATTATTATTTTTTTTTTTTATCGGAATCGGCCAGTGTGATAAAAAAAATAATAATAATGCCCGAGAAGGAGAGAGATATAAAAAACAGAGGTATACCACCCAATGCAAGTGGATACGGGCTGCTGTGTAATGCAGCGAAGTACGAACAAATAGCTGATGGTACGGAATATCAGTGCGTAGAAGAAGGGCACTTTCATTAAAGGTCCCATCAGGAAAAGGATCTGAAGAATACAATAAATTATAGCCTGAGAGGGAGAGGGTAAACAGCAAAAGTGTAATTTTGGTTCCTGTAAGCAAACACCAACAGGGGAAAACTGGGAGAGTAACATCTGAAGCTCACCCCCATTACCCCTGAGGCCGCGTATATTCCACTGTAAATAGGCCATGATTGGCAATGATAAAGATACCTGAAATCTGCAGGTAAGGGTTCCTACGGACTAGAGGGGTTAGAAAAGTCCACATGCTGAGGCAGTGGAAAACGTTCAAGCAGCAAAGGAATGGTGTGCTATGAAGAAAGGAGTTGCGCAGATGGAGCAGAGGAGAGAGAAGGAGCGAAGGGTGGATCAGTGTCCATTGATGGTTTGGTCTCTGCAATATATTCAGAGATTGCTTCAAGTGTTTCGGAATTCAGAGACGTCGTATGCGAGACAATATTGGAAATGGTAGGGGGAGGATGAGTAAAGATTGGAACTGTATTGGACTGTACCAAGGTAGGGGGGGGCGAAAGGGTGGAGGGAACTGGAGAAGCGTGGAATGGGATAGAAGAGGCAGAAACCTGGGAGGTGGCAGAAGAGGAAGAAACTTGGGAGGGAACAGGGGGGGAAAGGGTTTACAGTACGAGGGGAGGGTGAACCTCTACACTTATAATAGAGCCAGTGAGAGGGGAAGAACCGGGTACAGGGGACAGGAAAGGTAAAATGAGGAGGTGGAAGATGGGTAGGAGGTGTTAACGGCCCTTTTTTTTGACTTTTGAGAAGTAGAGGGACAATTGGGAGGTGTCATACGAGATCTCGTCGCTACTGGGGCTTGTGAGAGAGAACACGAAGAACCCGAGATCAGACTGAGGCGTTGAAGTAGGGATGTCTGAGCCGAGGACAGCAAAAGAATTAGATACAGAAGTGACAATGGGAGAGGTAACCACAGAGGTGGGTGCAGAAGATGGGATACCAGAAGTGGGGGGACGTTTTGAAACACAGGAATAAAGAAACGAGGGAGTCTCCCTTGGAGGCGGAGCTGAGAAACTGCCATGGCATAAGGGAGACCTTCTGCCTCTTTGAGGTAACAGATTTCCTGCTCGTTTAAGTAGACTTGACAACGGTGAGAGTACGAAGGGTGAGCCTCATGACAATTAAGGCAAGAGGGAGGTCGATTGCAAGACGTATTAGAATGGTCATCAGCACCACAGACGGGGAAATTTGGCGATAGATCTGCAATATTTCGCTGGATGGCCAAATCGCCAGCAATTTCTACACTGCTGCAGTGTAGGGATCACCTTTCAAACTTGTAACTGATGTCCTGCTACATAAACTGAGGATGGGAGTTCACGGCTGTCAAAAGTTAAACGAGCCACATTGCTAGGGTATCGTCTCCGCCCGCGGGCAGGAAGAACATAAGTGTCTACCTTGAGGATTGGGAGATCTTGGAGTTCCAGCTGTTCTAGAATGTCAGTGCCACATGTCTGGAAATTTTGTTGAACTATGGTATGGGGCAGAATGATGGTACCACTACAAGAATTGAGGGAATGATGTTTTTCAATAATGACGGGAACAGTATTGATATGGGAAAGACGAGAAAGCTCATGAGCCTGGGTAGCATTCTGTATGGTGATGATGCGCATACCGCTCTTAAGAGCATGAAAAGAAATATCTTCACCAACATGGCGTAGGAGTGCCTTGCCAATACTGTGGTCAGAAAGATAGGCAGTAGGGAAAGGGTCGGTCGTAAAGTGAAGAATTTAGCCCATTGTGCAGTCTGAAACTGAGCGTGGAAAGGTAGTGAAGGGACGTGTCGATCTTTTCTGAGAAGAACGAGAAGGTGGAGAAGTATCACCAGCAGGCAATTGTCATTGGCGTTTAGGTGTGGGACCAGAGTTGGTCCGACGTGGAATGGGTCGGTGAGTCAAAAATTGCCGCACCATAGAGGGAGAGGCCGGAAGCACAGTCAGAGGAGAGCGAAGGTCAGATAAATCAAAGGAGTCAGTCGAGGCCTCAGTACCTGAAGCGGGTGAGGAAACAGCACCGGCAAGAGGTACAGAGGCATGAGGAGTGTCCGAAGAGTGGTCCAAAGATGAGGCGGGGTCAGAACGGGGTGCGGTATCAAGAAGGGGCCCGGGGGTAGCAGGTTCATGGACTAGGGCTGCCATGGTTAGGTTACTTCTTTCTTTTTGTTTTTAAGAAAAAAAGAAAGAAGAAAAGAAAATAAAAATAAAAAAAGAATAAAAAAGGGGGGACTGGGGAGGGATAGTTCCTAGGAGGAATGAAAGGGCCAGAAATCCCCCCTCCCCACCCAAGAGGACCTCAGCACCGCAAGTAGCGCAGATGCAGATGGAAGCTGTGCCATACCTACCCAAACATGCCAGTAAACTAACAATTCGGGGGTAGCAAAACCTCACATCTGCCGAGCTACCTCGGTGGACAAAAGAGAGGGCGGCTGGAAATCCGCCACAAAGCATACCTCCTTCAGCCACCACCCCCGGAATCCGAAAGGTGGCTTCCAGAGATACACCCGTCACCCGAGACACCCAAAGCCACCCTCCGGGATACCTGAGAGGGATCGGGACATCCCCAGGCAATCTAGATTCCACGGCAAACTACGCCACCGCCAAGAACCTCAACGGAATGGGATGTACCCCGGTACCCTTTCCCCTACCTAGGAACTAGCGTGACTGTGGGAAAAAAAAAAAAAAGGAAGGGCAAAAGGGAGGGGTGGGGAGGAGGAGGAGGAAAGGAAAAAGGGGAGGATGTGGAGGATGGGATAGGGAATGGGGGATTGGGGGGTAATTAGGTTCAGTCTGAGGAAGGAGACCGACAGGTCTAATTCCTCAGGCCAAGAGCCTCTTCACCATGCCAAGGAGCCCCTCTTGAAGAGAATTTGATGGAAACTTACAAAATTATGCTCTCGCGAAGTTAGCGATCTTGCCGATGTTTAAGCATTGGCGATTCTGCCCACTTTGAGCCCTAGTTTTGGCGAATTCCTGTGTACTAGTCGACAAAAATTATATTTCGATAGAACTCAATTTTTTCTATCGAATGAGTACAAGAAACCACCCATTTACCAATTTCAATTATCCAATAAAGTGGTTAGAAATTGGCAATTTTGCCAATTTCACACAAATTTCAGAAGATGCCAACTTCCAAATAGGGTCCAGAATAAACAAGAAAGACATTCCTGGCACTAAAATAACAAGTTCTCTGTTCGTTAGTCACATCCCCAGGCCCCTCTTATATTTCTTTTGCTTTCCACTTTGAATTTTTATTCTTACAAGAAATAGAAGATTTACTGTTATGCAGACTACTGCATTAGTGTAGAAATGGTATAAATAATATCAGTGCACTTGTGAAAGAATATTAGACTCACCAGTTGATGTGTAATGGACACTTGGCATGATTTGTTTACTTTTGAACTTTGGTAAAAATCGAACATTTCTGCTACTTTGAGCTCAATTTCAAGGTACTTTTCATTGTGAAACCACTCAAAATCATCTCAGTTTCTGTAATATGTGTTCTATTCTATAAATGAGACCAGGAAAACTATAATACAACCATAAATACCATACAAAAATACAGTGCAAAGTTGCTGTTTTAATCCAAAAACACGGTCAAAGTTTTTTTTTTCTCATTATGCACTGTGTGCTGCAGGATTTTTTTATACTGCACACACTGACCACATAGACCCATTCTTTCATATGTATGTCTACCAGCTTTCTTTCGCTAGATTTGAAGGCGCTAGAATGTAGGCGTACTAGTATGTCAATAACCCTGGTGCGTAAGCCATACTAGTACATCAAAACCCTGAAAGGGTTAACATTTTGACTGTTTCAACAGGCCCGAGATATGGTTCATTTGGTTTAATCATGACAATATCTCTGGTTTTGATCGACACCTAAAGCCACCTTCTGAATCACAAGAGGGTGGATCAGCACATCCTAGATAATCAAGATTCGGCAGCAAATACCACCACCACCGCAGAGGACCTCAACAGAATGGGAAGGGCAATTCTCCTTTCTTAACCCAGGAACTACAATTTCTGAGGGAAGATCCCCAAAGGCTGAAAGTAAGAAAGGGAGGCAAGTGGAGGGGTGAGGACAAGGAGGTGGGATGGGAAAGATAGGGTGGGGAAGGCAAGAGTGGGGAGCACTTAGGAAGAATACTATAAGGACCAATTCCCTAGATCAAGAGCCTCATCACTACAAGGAACCCACCTTGAAGAGGGATTGTTATGGTTTCTCTCCAGTATGAGTTCTCATGTGACTTACTAAATGTGATTTTTTAGAAAAGTTATTCATACATTTTGAGCACTGATATGGTTTATCTCCAGTATGAGTTTTCATGTGTCTTACTAAAAGCATTTTTTGAGAAAACTCATTCATACATTCTGAACACTGATATGGTTTCTCTCCAGTATGAGTTCTCATGTGACATACTAAATGTGATTTTTGAGAAAAGTTATTCATACACTCTGAACATTGATATGGTTTCTCTCCAGTATGGGTTCTCATGTGACTTACTAAATGTGATTTTTGAGAAAAGTTATTCATACACTCTGAACATTGATATGGTTTCTCTCCAGTATGGGTTCTCATGTGACCTACTAAATGTGATTTTCGCGAAAAGTTATTCATACATTCTGAACATTGGTATTTTTTTCTCGCCAGTATGAGTTCTCATGTGTATTACTAATGTGATTTTTGAGAAAAGTTATTCATACATTCTGAACACTGATATGGTTTCTCTCCACTATGAGTTTTCATGTGTCTGACTAACTGTGCTTTATGAGAAAAGTTATTCATACATTCTGAGCACTGGTATGGTTTCTCTCCAGTATGAGTACTCATGTGTCTCACTAAAAGTACTTTTTGAGAAAACTCATTCATACATTCTGTACACTGATATGGTTTCTCTCCAGTATGAGTTCTCATGTGACTATCTAACTCAGACTTTTGACAAAAGTCTTTTAGACATTCTGAACACTGATATGGTTTCTCTCCAGTATGAGTTCTCATGTGACTTACTAAATGTGTTTTTTGAGAAAAGTTTTTTAAACATTCTGAACACTGATATGGTTTGTCTTCAGTATGAGTTCTCATGTGAATTACTAAATTTGACTTATGAGAAAAGTCTTTTAAACATTCTGAACACTGATAAGGTTTTTCTCCAGTATGTATTTTCATGTGACTTATTAAATGTGATTTTTGAGAAAAGTTTTTTAAACATTCTGAACACTGATATGGTTTGTCTTCAGTATGAGTTCTCATGTGAATTACTAAATTTGACTTATGAGAAAAGTCTTTTAAACATTCTGAACACTGATATGGTTTCTCTCCAGTATGAATTCTCATGTGACTTACTAAATTACATTTTTCAGAAAACCCTTTTAGACATTCTGAACACTGATATGGTTTCTCTCCTGTATGAGTTCTCATGTGACTTACTAAATTACATTTTTCAGAAAACCCTTTTAGACATTCTGAACACTGATATGGTTTCTCTCCTGTATGAGTTCTCATGTGACTTACTAAATTACATTTTTCAGAAAACCCTTTTAGACACACTGAACACTGATGTCTTTTTTTGCCTGTAATAACTCTGGTCAGAGATACACAGTGAAGTTGTTGTGAAGATGGTTTTAGTGAATGTTGATCTAGCTGGTCTCCTACATGAACAACTGTACATTGTGTTGCTTCAACACACTGTTTCTCAAATATTTTAGCCATAGTGAACAATAATATTCTCACACATTAAATTGCTTAATCAAAAGCAATTTAGAGAATATTTTATAACACTGAAGGCTAATATATAATACTCTATTGCTATAATAATAACAAGCCCTAAACATGTTATATGTGTGTGTGTGTGTGTGTGTGTGTGTGGTGTGTGTGTGTGTGTGTGTGTGTGTGTGTGTGTGTGTGTGTGTGTGTGTGTGTGTGCGTGTGTGCGTGTGTGTGTGCGTGTGTGTGTGTGTGTGTGTGTGTGTGTGTGTGTGTGTGTGTGTGTGTGTGTGTGCGACGTATACACAGTTAGTACGTATGATAGTGTGTGAGGAATAGGAAGGGAGACACTGACAGATATTTCAGTGTTTAGGACACATTAACTTTTTGACATTGTTTTTAGCACTGTACATGTTGTATTATCAATACTGTTGTTACAGTGTTTTTACTGTATTATTAATATTGTAGTTAGTGTTCTCACTGTGTTATTAACACTGCAGTTAGTGAGGTCACTATTATTAACACTGTAGTTAGTGTGGTCAGTATTATTAACACTATAGTTTGTGTGGTCACAATTATTTACACTGTAGTTAGTGTGGTCACTATTATTAACACTGTAGTTTGTGTGGTCACAATTATTAACACTATAGTTAGTGTGGTCACTATTATTAACACTGTAGTTTGTGGTCACTATTATTAACACTGTAGTTAGTGTGGTCACTATTATTAACACTGTTGTTAGTGTGGTGACTGTATTATAAACACTATAGCAATTGTTGTCACTGCATTAACACTTAATTTTGTTGTCACTATTATTAACACTGCTGTTAGTGTGGTGACTGTATTATAAACACTAGTTATTGTTGTCACTGCATTAACGCTAATTTTGTTGTCACTATTTTTAACACTGTAGTAGTAGTTAGTTTTAATATTGTCACTGCATTATCAACATTAGTTAGTGTTGTCATTGTATTATTAACTCTGTAGTTAGTGTTGTCACTGCATTAACACTAGTTATTGTCACTGCAGGTACAAACACTGTATTTGTCACTGTATTATTAACACTGTAGTTACTGTCACTTTATTAACACTGTAGTTAGTGTCATCACTGTATTCTTAACACTGCAGAATTGTCACTGTACTATCACTGAAGGTAGTGTCATCACTGTATTATCACTTTAGTGTCACCACTGTGTTATTAACACTAGTATTGTCATTGTAGTAGCACTGTAGTTATTGTCACTGTATTATTAACATAGTGTTATCACTGTATTATTTACTCTGTAGTTAGCATTGTCACTGCATTAGCACTGCAATCACTATTATTAACACTATAGTTAATGCTGTCACTGCATTAACACTGTAGTTATTGTTGACATTGTATTATTAACACTATATAACACTGTAGTTTGTGTTGTCACCATATTATTAATACTGTACTTAGTATTGTCACTGCATTAACACTGTAGTACTAACATTGTAGTTATTTTTATCACTGTATTAACACTAGTTAGTGTTGTCGCTTATTAACATTGTATTTAGTTTTGTCACTGCATTATTAACACTGTAGTGTTAATGTTGCAGTTTAAAAACTGTAGTGTAAAGCACCCTTCTGGCAAGACAGTGATGGAGTGAATGATGGTGAAAGTTTTTCTTTTTCGGGCCACCCTGCCTTGGTGGGAATCGGCCAGTGTGATAATAAATAATAATAGTTATTGTCACTGTATTATTAACACTAATTAGTGTGGTCACTGTATTATCACTGCAGGTAGTGTCATCACTGTATTATTAACACTGTAGTGTTGTTACTGTATTAATACTGTCCTTACTGTTGACACTATTAACACTGCAGTTATTATCACTGTATTATTAACACAGTAGTTAGTGTTATTACTGCATTAATACTGTAATTATCATCACTGTATTAACACTGAAGTTAGTGTTATCACTGTATTATTAACAGTGTAGCTATTATTGCCATTGTATTAACACTGAAGTTAATGTTATCACTGTATAAAACTGTTGTTAGTGATGTCACTATTATTAACACTGCAGTTAGTGTTGTCACTGTATTATTTACACTGTAGCTATTATCACTGAATTAGCACTGTAGTTAGTGTTGTCACTGTATTATTAAGACTCATGATAGTGTTGCCACTGTATAACATTACAGTTAGTGTTGCCACTGTATAACATTACAGTTAGTGTTGCCACTGTATAACATTACAGTTAGTGTTGTTACTTTATAAATTTTACATTATTTACAAAACTTTTAGGACATTTATGACACTTCTGTTGTCACTACAAGTGCCAGCCACTTGTACCAGGATGACCTGCAGTACTGACACTACAAGTGCCAGCCACTTGTACCAGGATGACCTGCAGTACTGACACTACAAGTGCCAGCCACTTGTACCAGGATGACCTGCAGTACTGACACTACAAGTGCCAGCCACTTGTACCAGGATGACCTGCAGTACTGACACTACAAGTGCCAGTCACTTGTACCAGGATGACCTGCAGTAATGACACTACAAGTGCCAGCCACTTGTACCAGGATGACCTGCAGTACTGACACTACAAGTGCCAGCCACTTGTACCAGAATGACCTGCAGTACTGATACTACAAGTGTCATCCACTTGTACCAGGATGACCTGCAGTACTGACACTACAAGTGCCAGTCACTTGTACCAGGATGACCTGCAGTACTGACACTACAAGTGCCAGCCACTTGTACCAGAATGACCTGCAGTACTGACACTACAAGTGCCAGCCACTTGTACCAGGATGACCTGCAGTAATGACACTACAAGTGCCAGCCACTTGTACCAGGATGACCTGCAGTAATGACACTACAAGTGCCAGCCACTTGTACCAGGATGACCTGCAGTACTGACACTACAAGTGCCAGCCACTTGTACCAGGATGACCTGTAGTGCTGACACTACAAGTGCCAGCCTCTTGCACCAGGATGACCTGCAGTACTGACACTACAAGTGCCAGCCTCTTGTACCAGGATGACCTGCAGTACTGACACTACAAGTGCCAGCCACTTGTACCAGAATGACCTGCAGTACTGATACTACAAGTGTCATCCACTTGTACCAGGATGACCTGCAGTACTGACACTACAAGTGCCAGTCACTTGTACCAGGATGACCTGCAGTACTGACACTACAAGTGCCAGCCACTTGTACCAGAATGACCTGCAGTACTGACACTACAAGTGCCAGCCACTTGTACCAGGATGACCTGCAGTAATGACACTACAAGTGCCAGCCACTTGTACCAGGATGACCTGCAGTAATGACACTACAAGTGCCAGCCACTTGTACCAGGATGACCTGCAGTACTGACACTACAAGTGCCAGCCACTTGTACCAGGATGACCTGTAGTGCTGACACTACAAGTGCCAGCCTCTTGCACCAGGATGACCTGCAGTACTGACACTACAAGTGCCAGCCTCTTGTACCAGGATGACCTGCAGTACTGACACTACAAATGTCAGCCTCTGATGTCAGGATGACCTGCAAAATAAAATTTAAAGTTTATTATATTTTATAATTATTATTATTCTTTTAACACACCAGCCATCTACCACAGAGGTAGCGATGACTCGATAAAGAAGAAATACTTCCACCATCGCTCTATCACTGTCTTGTCAGAGTCAGGCTGATACTACATTTCAGATGTCCCTCCAAACTGCAAATGCTCCCACTCAATCTTCAGAGTGTAGGTACTATACTTACCACCTTTACACCTCCTTCAGAATTCAAACACTGTACTTCCCACCTCCAGGATTCAAGTCCAGCTATTAAATTTCCCTGAAACCCTTGACAAATGTTACACTGCTTATACTCCAACAGCACATAAATTCCAAAAATAATTTACCCACACTCATATAAAACATGTTCATGCACCCCTGCTGGATGTCCAAGCCCCTCACACACAAAACTTTCTTTGCCCCCTCCCCCAAACCTTTCCTAGGCCAACCCCTACCCCACCTTCCCTCCACTACAGATATGCACTCCAAGTCATCCTATTCTGTTTGAACCTTTCTAAATGTTCAAACCACCTCAACAACCCCTCCTCAGCCTTCTAGATAATACATTTAGTAACTGCATGTCCTTCTAATCTTCAAGCAAGAATTATCTGCAGATTATTTACACTACACAGTATAATTATTATTACAGTGGTGCTTTTGTAAGTGTATTTTTGGGGGTCTGAAATGGATTAATCTAATTCACATTATTTCTTATGGGAACAAATTCGTTTGTTATCAGCACTTGAACAGCCTTCTGGAATGAATTAATTTTGTATCCCGAGGTACCACTGTACAGTGGACCCTCAGTTAACAACATTAATCCATTCCAGAGTGCTTGTCTTTAACCAATTCTGTCGTTATCCAAATTAATTTTCCCCATAAGAAATAATAGAAATCCAATTAATCTGTTCCAGACACCCAAAAGTTTAAACAAAATAATTTTTTTACATGAAATATACATTTCCCTACACAGAAAGCAATGAGACATGCAGAATAAATACATTAATAATTAATAAAATAACACTTACCTTTATTGAAGACATATTTGATGAGTGATGAGATGGGAGGAGGGCAGAGGATGGAGGAATTTACAATTGTTTGGAAGGGTAATCCCCTTCCATAAGGACTTTAGGTACCAAGTCCATTTCCAGGGTTACCTCCCTTCTTTGCTTTTTAATGCCACTAGGGCCAGCCTGAAAGTCACTGGACCCCTGTCGCACCAAATATCTGTCCAGAGAGCTCTGTTTCTGGCATCTCTTTAAGATTTCTCTAAAATGGGACACAACACTGTCATTGTAGATGTTGCCAGCACGGCCTGCAACAGCTGTGTCAGGGTGATGTTCATCAATAAATGTTTGCACATAAGAAAGAACACTGCAGCAGGCCTGTTGGTCCATACTAGGCAGGTCCATCACAAACCATGCTACTAACAGAAATGTATTTGCCAAACCCAATTTTCAATGCTTCCCAAGCAATAAGCTTTGATAATTCTATTCACTCATGCGCAAGTCCCAATCAAATCAAATCATGTGTGTGGGGAAGTACCCTGTCTGGTATGTGGGGAAGTACCCTGGCTGGTGGGTAGG